GATAACTAGATAGAAAGTTGATGACTGTTAGAAGACAGGATGTTTAATATTATTATTATTATTATTCTGACGTGTATAACTGTAGTCATAGCCATAATATTTTCTTATGTTTAATGTCATGACATGTCACTAGAGGTCGTGTTAGAATGTTTTAGCTACACACCACATAATCAACAGACAATCACACATTGATTTTCTTCATGCTTTGACTACTGCCATGGTCAGCTGCAAAGCTGGCACCGGGAGACGTCACGGTTTGACGTTCCTGTGTAGAATGGGGCTAGCCCAACCGAAGTGATATAATGTATAGGCCTGTTGTGGTTCAGGGTCTTTCATCTTTCAGCTGCCTGCGTGCATGTTGGAGGTGCAAAGATACCTGAGCGTGTAATGTTCATTTTTACCTGTGTTCATTGAATAAATCAGCACTGTTTTGAAAGTACTTGGACTGCTTCGTCTCTCAGAGTTAGCGTGGTGAAAAGTACTGGGTCCAACAGTACCTTTACTCTTGTGATAATAGTTTTGCAGTTTAAACATTTTGAATGCAGGACTTTTATTTTAACAGTCTGAGTACTTCCTCCATTTTTATTTTGAAACTCATTTAGCCCGGAAGTGTTTATCCAAGGGAACCGCTGTTGTCATTGTCCACACGTGTTTAGCTAACAACGAGGCTTTTATCAGCCAACAACTACAGTGAGTTGAGTGTTTACATGTGTGTGGTAATGAAGGTAGAAACCGCCATGAGTGTAGATAATAGTTTGTATTGACTCGGATGTTGTAGTGAAACCTGTGGTGTCTTACCAATTAACGGCTAAGTTAGCAAATGGTACCGACATATGGCAGTGGTGTCAACTACTTTTGCTACAGACGACTTATTTGTCCTTATCTGGTAGAAAAGTAGCATAATTTCCGATTTATACTGTGTTTAAGCGGCTGGTTATATCACCGCGATTCCTTGAGCCAGTCCTGAACACAGCTGCAGCTGAATCGGTCGAATACACACGCGTATGGCTAATTACGTGACTTTAGTTTAGGCCAGGGCTTCTCCAGCCTCTTCAGGTCAGGATCCGTGGGGAGCGGAGCCTTTCAGCTTTTAGGATAGCTGGAGCAAACGATTCCAAGTTCGTGGATCAGTAAGTCATAAGCGAAGCGTTGTTAAAACACACAGGACACCTTTTATACCCGCAGTAAGCTTGTTGTCTGCCTTACTCCGTTTGGAGATAAATGTAGTTTGAGCATTACTATAGAAGCTCAGTATAAGAGTTAAATGATGTTTACCCGTTATTTGGGGTGTCAGGCCATACTGTCATAAATCTTCACAGCCCCACAATAAGCATTAGTGATGTCCAATTGACACCATGACACCTGTATCGAACCACTTCATCATTTGTATCAAGTATTGGTTAATTCATTCAAAGGTTCGGTTTAGTGCCATCTGGTGGCGAAATAGTATGCAGCAGAACAATGTCTGAATTATGTGATGGGTCTAACTAGGCTTTGTGTGAATGATGTGAAAACGTTTGTAATGATTGATTGGTCAGTCTATCAAAGTATGTAGTGTAGTAGGTGGGAGAAGGCGTGTTTGGGGAAACAGAGGATGTACTAGGATGTAATATGTGAGTATGTAACTAGGACAGGGTATGAATAAATACGAGGGATGGAAAATAATCATTTTTATTCAAGAACAAAAGTTTCTCCACTGTCTTTGGACCGATCAGGTGAATCTGTTCCCACATTGGAGAACGGGGTCTCTTCCTAGCTGGCTCCCTGGTGATCACACACCAGCAGCAATGATCATACCAACAGCAACTATGCACAAACCTACTACGCCAACAAACCCGCATGTTGTGCATAATCTTGGTTGGCTTTATAGTACCCCTATGCTTACGCAACAGCTGACATGCACAGCAAGATCTCGCGTCGTGACACCATATCAGTGGTTTGAACCGGTCACTGGAGTCACTCAGGCCAGCCGTTTCTGTGTCGGACGTCATCAGTCACGTGTCTTTTTGGCAACGATACAAGCCTCGAGGCAGTGGTTTGCGGAAGATCCCCCTTCTGAGCTTGAATCATGTATCGAGGCCTCAGTGTCAGATGGCCATCAATAGTAAGCAATACTGTTTTCCAAACCCTTAACACAAAGCATTCCTGAACCTCGTCATCACCCGGGCAAAGAGCAGATATGTAGCTTGACACACATCATCTGCATTGCATTTGCTCAGGTTAAACTGTGGCTGGTCCAAATGGATTCTAATCACGGTCACCTCTGAGAGCCGGGTCCGCTCAGCTGTCCAACCACTGACACTCAACCAAGACTGTCAAACAAAGGAAGAATATACTACTAATATCCACAGTGAGGCAATTATTATTGGTGTTAGTAATAACACCAATAATTAATGATAAAACAACGTTATAGCAACCTAACTATAAGCTTTATTTTAAAAGGAAAGTCTGAAGTTTAATCTTAAAGGTAGAGAGGGCGTCTGCCTCTCGAACTGAGACTGGGAGCTGGTTCCACAGGAGAGGAGCTTGATAGCTAAAGGCTACTAGCATGCATGCTACTTCTGTAAACAGCAATAAGTTGCGCAAGAAACGGAGAATCGGTCGCTCAGAATTGTAGCTTACATTTCCTGTTAGATGCAGAATTGGACCCTGACTTCAGCAGTGTTTGTTAATGATGACATGCTTATATTTTCATTAGCTTGGTTGATTTGTCACCAGCTGATATGCTGGTGATTAGTTTATTGTATATTTGCAGGCGCTGTTGGCTGTTCTCTAAAAATGGCTGAAGCATTTAGTAGTAGTTCGGAAATGGTGATCCAGCGTGTGGTAGATGTTCCAGTGAAGACAAATACTGCCCCAGAAAAACTCGAAGAATTGTATCAGATAATGAAAACATGCGACTTTATCAGGCAGAACCGATTTGAAACGGTGAGGATGCCATTTTCTGCTTTTCCATTTTCACGTAAACTAAAGTATGGAGGAATGTCAGATACCGTACATGTTTGAGAAGTTTGCCCAAATTGCTCCACAGGTTGCTCTGCAGTTTCCTGATGAGCTGCTGGTGGATGCTGTCGCCATAGCAGAGGAGATCAGGAGAAATTGTAATGCCAAGCCATTCATTTTGGGAGATACATCTTATGGCAGGTAACGTACCACATTTAACTGAGAAAACTTAACTGGTTTAATAATACACACCTACCACATACATCTTTTCTGTGCTGTTACGTAAAGTAAGGTGACAGCCACTGGTCTTTTACAGGCATTTATTGCTTTACACGTGTGACGTTTTTCAAATTTTAATCCAAGACAGACATGATAATTTGACTTGTTTTAGTGAGTATATTAATCAATTGGTAGTTTTGTTTTATTTTATAGGTTTATTTATTTGTGCATTCATTCATGTATGCATGCATTGTAATATAATAGCAATAGTTATAATTATGGGCAGCACAGTGGAGGAGTGCTACCACTGTCACCTCACAGTAAGAAGGCTCCAGGTTCAAACCTAGCCATGCAGAGCCTCTCTGTCCAGAGTCTGCATGTTATCCCTGTGCCTGCGTGGGTTTTCTTTGGGTACACCGGTCTCCTGCCACAGCCCAAAGACATGCAGCTTAGGTTGATTCACAGCTGTAAATCAGCTGTGAGTGATTGTCTGTCTCTTTGTGTGAGCCCTGTGACAGACTGGCAACTTGTCAAGGGTGAACCTCGCCTCTCACTCAGTGTCAGCTGGGATTGACTCCAGCTCCCTGCAACCCTCCACATGGTCAGCGCTAAGATAATGGATGAGTGGATGAGGGTTTGACATTAACCACGGCCACAAACTGTTACTGTGTGGCTTGCTGAGACCCCTTGTCTCATAACCGCTGCACCTTGCCAACACAACATTAACATTCCATGAACATCCCATTTTGTTTGTGCCTTTTAGTTCAACATTCTATGAAAACAGGGACCAGTGAGATTACTTGTTCCCGGTCCCGACTCTCTGCCGTTATGTTGGGGCTGCTGAAGTATGGGTTTATCAAGCCTGTAATGCGATCGGTGCAGAAGAGCCAGAAACACCAAACACAGACTATGAAAAAATTGCAGCAGAAATTTAGGGGTGAATGGAAGAAAGAGTAAGTGGCTAGAATATAACCAGGGTGTCTGCGGGGTTTTAAAAAGTTTTAAAAAGTGATTAATCAAAATTGCCACATTTAAGGCCATTAAAAGTGTGGTTTAGAGGTTGTTTTTTGTTTTGTTTTTTTAATAGGTATTTTTTCAGACTATGGCATCCTATTCTGATTGAAATTCTATCTGCTAAAGTTTGGGCTAGTTCATTTAAATATGGGCTTTAGCATATCTGGGCACATAATCAAAGATCCTCGTCTAGTCTCAACTTTGTATGTTTGATGCTGACGTCATATTCAGTGGTCGTTCGACATCTCAAACACTTTTCATGCTCAGCTCAACTGGATAGCCAACTGGCTATGTTTTTGACTAGTTTAGGCATATCTTCAACGTCCAGACAACCATCATCGTTGTCATGGGCAAATGCAAGTTTTCTGACAGCTGGGCAGAAGACCCAGCCTTTAAGGACTGGCTCAGGCCTGCAGTAGGGAATAACCGGCAGGCTTATTGTTCGGTTTGTAAAGAAACAAACAAAAAAACATTCAAATCAAATTTTGTTTGTATAGCGCCAAACCACAACAAAAGTCATCTCAGGACACTTTACAGAGTAAGGTCTAGACCTTACTGTTATCACTATTATTACAGAGGGAAAACCCAACAAATCCCCTCGAGCAAGCACTTGGTGACAGTGGGGAGGAAAAACTCCCTTTAACGGAAGAAACCGCCGACAGACCCCGGCTCTTGGTGGGTGGCCTTCTGCCTCGACCAGTTAGGGTGAGTGGATAGAGGAGAGAGAAAAGAAGAAAAGCAACAGGACACAACAAACAACAACAATCAATCAAACACTAGTCAGGTTGATGTGGCCGGTGACTGCTCATCGGAAACAGAGCTCCAGAGCCAGGGCAACTTGCAGTAAGATACAGGGAGAGAGAGAGAGAGAACACACTACGGGAGAGAGGAGACACAAAGTTAGTGATGTGTAATGGTGGCATATAGAAGCATAGGGAGAGAGGAAAGGAGAGGGCAGGGGAGGAGAGAAACAGAGCATCATGGTGCCCCCCAGCAGCCTAGGCCTATAGCAGCATAACTAAGGGAAGGCTCAGGGTCACCTGATAC